ATCACTCACTCAGTAATTCCAAACAATCACTTCCTCACTCAGTAACTCCAAACAATCACTTCCTCACTCAGTAACTCCAAACAATCACTTCCTCACTCAGTAACTCCAAACAATAACTTCCTCACTACCAGTACTGACAAGTTTTACACACAGCTCATAAACAAGCAGTTTTAAAAGGAACAAGAGAAACTAAGTCAGTAAACAATTAATTTTAAAACGAACAAGAGAAACATTAATTAATAATTAAAATATATCGAAAGGAATAAAATATAATGGTCTAAACATGTGTTTTTTTATACTTTACTTTCCATGCACTCCATATCTATATTATATCCTGTCATAAGAAGATTTAGATATGGTCGTGTTTTGTTCCAAACGATCATCAGATGAGTGTTTCTAGGCAACGGCTACTTTAAGATTAGACCTGAGAGTGACGCGTTTCTAGGAAGCAGGTAATTAAATATGATTGGTCGCACAATTAAGTTTAAAACAAAAAACTTAAATTAATGAACACGTTTTAATTAAAACGACTGTACTTAGTCACCAAAGTTAGGTAGGGAGATATAGTGAATTATCCATGTACGTATAGTTAGTTTTAATGAATCACCCTGCATTAAAAGTTAATTTCCCTTCTCTCTCTGCAGTTCCGGACGAGTCAGACATAAGAACTTCCGGTGAACGGAACAGCCGGACCTCTTACTTTCTAGGGCTTACATGATAAAATCCGGGGTTGGATTCCCCGCGGTGGGCAGAGTGCAGATAGTCCACGGTGTAGACAAAAACGACGCACTAGAACAATGCGATTTATAATTTGGATAAGAATAAACTCAGGACGCACCACCTTATGCGTCCACAAGTTTCATTACCTGAAGACGTTGGGTGTGATTGTAACGTCACAGCCTTGCAAATAGTGACAAAGAATGGCCCACTGAGTACATAATGTATTATATTTTGCGCATGCTCTTTGAATCTTGTGCTCAAACAAGGAACTTTAGAGCTCACTAAGCCACGGCTACACCTTGGACATGTAAATTTGGACATTACAGCTACGTCCTGAGTTGAATGTCAACCAAACAGCGTCACGTTGGCTTCGGAAGAGTTGGGTCTATAAAACTGCACATGAGGATATGATACTCTAGACATTTAACTGTCATAACTAAAACTGACTTCTAGTAATAGTTTCAATCTAAAGTGACTTTAGGTACTCTAACACCAACTCAACTAGCCGTCCCTAATATTGAAGTGATAACCTAGAGGGAATAAAGTGACTTTAGGTACTCTAACACAACTCAACTAGCCGTCCCTAATATTGAAGTGATAACCTATAGGGAATAAAGTGACTTTAGGTACTCTAACACCAACTGAACTAGCCGTCCCTAATATTGAAGTGATAACCTAGAGGGAATAAAGTGACTTTAGGTACTCTAACACCAACTGAACTAGCCGTCCCTAATATTGAAGTGATAACCTATAGGGAATAAAGTGACTTTAGGTACTCTAACACCAACTGAACTAGCCGTCCCTAATATTGAAGTGATAACCTATAGGGAATAAAGTGACTTTAGGTACT